ACATGTATAGTATGTGTATATATATACATATATATATATATATATTTATTTATTTATATTTATTTGTTTATTTATTTATATTTATTGTTTGTCTCTGTGGGATGGGGTGTGGGGTCCCTCTTCCCCCTGTGGGATGGTTGTGGGGTTTTGGGGGGTGGAGTTTAGCTTAAGCCTTTGAGTTTTGGGCCTAGGGCTTACGTAAGGTTAAAAGGTATAAGGCCTCGAGTCGACAAGGGCTTGGGGAGGGTTTTGGGTATAGGTTGGTTAGGGTTGACGGTTTATGTTCTGCTTTAGGCTTCGAGCCTGCATTCAGGCGGCGTTTAGGGTTGGGTGTAGGGTTTAAAGTACAGCTTAAGGTTACAAAAAAAAGGAACACGCCCTACGTTGTAGGGTTTATGGCTTGCGCAGGGCTTGCGTAAGATCCCGGCCTTCTCTGTGATGCCTGCCTGCCCCCCCGGCAGCGCCCCACCCTCCAGCTGCAGCTCCAACGACCCCGACCCTCGCCGCACGCGTCAGGCCCCCCCCGGCCCTCCCCTACCAGACCATACCATACACCATACCAATGCGTGCGTGCGCGTGCGTGCGTGCGTGCCTGCGTGCGTGGGTGCGGGCGGGCGGGCTGGCGAGCGGGTGGGCGGGAGTGCGTGCGTGCGTGTCTGCATATACATACATACATACATACATACATACTTACTTACTTACTTGCTTACTTACTTACAGACTTACATACTTACATGCTTACATTCCTACATACATACCAACGTTCATACAGACAGGCAGAAAGACAGACAGACAGACAGACAGACAGACAGACGTGTATGCATTATGCATTCATGAACTCTTTCATTCAGTCAGCCAGCCAGCCAGCCAGTCAGCTGGCTAGTTGTCTTTTTATGTGCTGCATATTCACGTGATGATTTGATTATCAACCGCAATCACGCACGTACACACATACACCGGCCGGTCCCCACGCAGAACCCATCAACCACCCATCAGCCAAGGCGCAGGTGGCACCAACTCCCGCATTGGCCAAGGGCCGAGCATCTCGAAACCTCAGACCGCAAGGAGGGTTTCGGGTTTAGGAGCCCTTGCAAGGAGCTTTGGAATTTATGGGGGATGGATCGCACTGTCGTCTGCACATAACACGCGATCCGGTGCCAAGCTGGGGTCACAATCACTCGATACTCTTAGGGAGGAGCAGCTCGTTGTCCCATGCCTGTGAGACGTTGAATGCACGAACCGTGCCATCCATGCCTAAGTTCAAGTTCGGGCAATTGAAGTCACGAGACATGCCTTGGGTGGTCTCTCTCGCACCTGACACAGCGAACAGTGACACCGAGGGCTAGGCCACATGACATCATCAGCCCGCTGTAGCTGGAGGAGACAACGGTTCCTGTCACCTCCGCAACGCTTCGAGCAACAACAAATCCAGTTGCCTTTGTATGACCAGCAGTGGATGCCATCTCAGCTTCCAGTGATTCTCATGCATGCTAGAGCTGCAACAGTTGCAAGATCTACGACGCTTCACAGCCAATCAAGAGCTGTGCAAGCGAAACTTGCCATGAAAAGAGCTGGCCTGCTTGCTGTGACAGCTGAAGACCATGTTGCAGTTCGTGCTTGCGATGTCGTACAACCACACCATGCCGTTGCGCGAATCCTGCACGGAGGTATTCAAGAACCGACAACACTCAGCTGGAAGCGGCATCTATCCTTCCGCTTCGTGATTGTACAGCTGCTGGCTGTCAGTTAGTGACACTCGAATCGGCGCAGTTTGAGCGCTCCGATGATAGCTGCTGGCTTTCATTTTTGTTGGTGCTGTCACGCTTGTTCTGTTACAACAACCATCAGCAAGCCACTCGTGCGCTGATGCGGCATCCCGATGCTTCATCTGTAGGACTCGGAGGAGCAGTGAACACGCCCCCGACGCCCCCCCTCCTAGCAAGAATTGCACCGGCGTCCTGCACCAACCAAGTCTCCCCATCTGGGCCTGCAGGCTGATGCAGCACAGAAAAGAAGCTTCAAATTCTGCAGCATCTTGTGGCCCGCTCCGCTGGGCTCCAGGCAGATAGCCACATGCTGGATGTGGGCGGGGTAGATGTGCTGCTCGCTGCTCCTTACGCACCATACAGTGGCTGTTCCTGTTGCGGTTGGAGACGAAGAACCGAAACACAACATGCGGGTTCAATGTGTTGAATGTGCAAGGCTTCATCACGGTCCCCTCCCATTGTCAATTCAGTGTGTGGCAACTTCATCCCACATCATCCCAAATCTTGCGGCTGAGTTCAGGACGGCGGAATGCGCACCTCCTTGCGCATGCGAATTCCGTACCTTGGCGATGGCCCCGAAAGTTTCAGGCCAAGCTCTAAGGCCGTCTCCAGGGATCCCACTCCAGGATGCCATTATCGTAGTCCGCCTCGGCGCTGTCGATCTCGTCGATGGGCCACCAACGCAGAAAGCCTCGGAATCGTGAAAAGCCGACCAAAGAAGAATGCTGCTGGCAAGTCTAGGCGGCCCACCGTCGTCACCACCGGAGATCACTAAGCCATTTTCCTTGTCACTGAGGATTACGTCGATGGCGCCCGCATGAGGACCTGAATTGAGAGGGTCTCGGTGTCGATATGTAGCCATGTCCACAACACATGAAGCCCGCACGTAGCCATTGACGCGAGACCGGGAAAAATTTTGCCGTGTGGCACAGCATGGGCTCAGCGCTGCTCTGCAATCTCAAGGCTCTCAAGCTTACAACTCCAGAGCCTGTCGGAATCTCCAAAAATTCACCTCTTACCTCTTCCCGAAATCCACCCCTAAGGCCGGCAACCTTCCAACCGCAACGCCTGTCCAAGCCTCAACATCCTACCTCTACCCGAAATTCACACCGATACCTCTCGGGGCGCCAGCTTCCGGCGAGGTTTGTGGCAGCCTCCTGCGCCGAAGTGCCCTCCTTGGCACGCATCAACTCCACCTGCGGAAGAGGGGCTTCCCAGGACGCAAAAGTGACTCTTGTGACTTCGGTGATGTGTCAAGCCGTCGTTTTGCGTCACAGGTGGTTGTCTGTTCCTCCTGGGACAAGCTTCAGGATGCGCTGTGACTTCTTACTGAAACAGAACAAAAGTCACACCTGATCCGCTACGAGAAGTCTGAAGTGATCTACACAATCTACACGCTAGCGCCGAAGTCGCAAAGTAACCCGCCTACCTACCATGAAGGCGTACAAACCTCCTCATGCAATGGATCGGGTAAGACTCCGACCAAACGGACCACAACGTTATTTTGGGGTTCAGGAGTATAGGCGTGTAGAGTTCAGAGCTTCGGCTGGTATCGTCACTATCCGCATCCAATCAACATCGGGATGAACTTTGGCATGAAAGCTACAGCCCGCTTGACGCAAGCCGCAAAGTCCTGCTCCAAAGCTGGTCGGGCCTTGACAAAGACGCCTTCCCAAACCAGCAGCTTTCCATACCTGGGTAGCATGCATAGCGAAGCTATGCGAAGCTTCCCCGCAGCTCCAATACGTCCCACGTCGCCTTAAGCATGCGAGCCTTCATTAGGTAGGTGTCACACGTCGGAAACTCTATGTTCACCCGACTTGCGGCAACGGCTCAACGTGACAGTGGCGCAGGCTCGGAAGCAAGCTGAGGGAGGCACTCTGTGCCCGACACGACTTTGCCATCAGGCAGCTCGACGAAGCCACTGATGTCGGAGAGCTCGCTTGCGCCGAACTGCGGCGTGATGCAGCCATCTTCACAGAAGCTACAGCTACTGCTGCTTCTGCAACAAGTCCTCGACAGAGCAAAACCCGTGCTCAGGCTGCACACCAACCCAACATCGCATTATCCATGTGTGTGTGCCGTCAAGCCTTGCCCAGTGCTCCCTGCAGCTTCAGGCCGGTGAAAGTGGTCGCCATCTTCCAGAACCTCGGCCGCAAGAGCGGACTTCATCATGTTTAAATTAAGAAGACTGGTTAGGCGGCCATCGCTGCCCTTGGCACCATGGTGCAGCGGGTAATTTGGCGGAGCAGGAGAACGACAACAACGACGACGACGACGACGACCACCACCACCACCGTCATCATCGACAGCCACCCCATTACGATTGTCTTTTGTACCACACCAACACCATCAACACCATCGGCAGCAGCAGCAGCAACATGAACAGAATGCTCGCCGCCATCAGCAACATGTACATAGTCATCCTGACAAGTACATCAGCAAGGGCTATGACATGGGAGATAGATGGACACGATCTGGCAGTGACAGGTGCTGGTCGTTGGCAGCTGTGGCCCCCAACCGGATGTGGCCGACGCCCACCGAGGTCAGCATGCCAGGGAACTGACCCCAGCGGATGCTAAACACATCCTGCCCACATGAGGAAAAAGTCAATGATTCAAGAGCAACTATTCTTCCCAATCGCCTGACAAGCTTGACAACAGCTGCGGCTGCAGCATCCGGTCCTGACCGTAGGCCTTGCACTTGAGGAGGAGCCGTTCGTTGCGCCAGTCCCATACAGAGAGCAAGTAGTCTGGGGCGCATCCTTGGAACTTGCTGCTTTGACCAGTGCTTGGATCTGGCCGTCCGGGCGGCTCTTCGTTGCAGCAACCGACGTAGACAGTGCTTCAAGCAGCTGTGACTAAGCTTGTTGGCTTTTTCAGCCCGAGAAACTGTTGAGACTCGAGATACGCTCAAGACACAGGCTTTACAAAGCGTGGACGGTCAGCAGACGTCGAGAGCAACCACGTGACTCAAGCCATCCGCAAAATGAGGGCCAGGCCAAGCGCTGCCAAGTGGTTCTGGGCATGTGAGGAGATTGCTTGTGTGCTCTGTGTGTGAGCATACGCAGACCATGGCCCCGCAAGTTGGATCGTTCCGTGACTCAAGCAGGTCTCGACAGCAAGACAAGCACTACCAACACCGAGCCTTGTTGTGAGGGGAGAACGCCACTGAGGCGTAGCCCCGCATTGTGCCCTTTCGCAAAATGCGGTACAGCCTGCTGAGCAGAAAGTCGGAATGATGGGAATGGAAAAGGAAGCAGCACGCAACTCCGAACTCGTGCGAAATCGCAGAGTCGCAACTTCAATTTTGCCCTCAGCCGTCGTCCAGTGAGTCAGCTCTGTCGGCGCTTTCAGCATCCTGAGCTTCCGAAGCGGGCCACAATGCATGAGTCCGTTCAATGCTACCTGAGTGCTTTTTCTTTCATCATGAACTCTTCCTCTTCCTCTTCCTGCACCGACTCTGCTAAAGAGCGGAGGCCTCCCTGCAACACAGCTGCTGCCGCAGAGCAAGTGAAGTTTGGATGCCCTTGCCTTGACCCTGAGGCGGGCTACGAACGAAGGACTAGTGTTGCAATGATTCCTTTGTCCTCCATCCGCGACTCTGCGCACTCTCTTCCGTGTCTTCTTAGCGTATCTCTCCCTGCCCCACATACTCCTCCCAGTACTCCCCCGTTGTGTCCGCGATTGTCCGCGCTGCCTGTCGGCCCTTGTCCCGACTCCCGCTCTGATTCGGCCTCCTTCCTCGGTTTACTCCTGCGATCTTCCGCACATGTTCATGCTTGTAGGCCCTACCGTTGTAGAAGCCCCTAAACCCCAAATAAACCCTAAACCCTCAACCCCTAAACCATAAATAAACCCTAAACGCTAAACCCCCAAATAAATCCCAAATGAACCCCTAAACAACCCCTACAACCCACCAAAGCCCAAGAGTTTCCCTTCTCTTTGCTACCAAGCCGCAGAGGCCGCGGAGGCCACGGAGGCTCGCTTCGAGCGCTGGGCGGTTCCTGCCTCGTCTTGCCTCACGCGAGATCGGGGGACCAGTTTAAGGAGTGTAGGGTTTAGGGGTTAAGGATGTCCGGGCCATTTTAAAGAGTCTAGGGTTTAGGGGTTAGGATGTCCGGGCCATGTTTAAGGAGTCTAGAACAGACATACTTCAGGTGGTAAAAGATTTTTTAGGGTGTACAGGACAGAACAGGGGCGTGAGTAGGTAAAGGGTTTTAGACCAGTGGGTTAGTCTTCTAAGGTCGCTCGTTAGCGGCCATAACGGGATATCATTACTCATTGTTCAGAGTTCAGACCCCTAAGATGAGCTTCCGATGTGAAGAGGCCCGTAATGAGAAGCAGTGATGCGCTTCCCAGTTGTTGCTACATACTGGTTTCCTTGCTGATGTTCACCTGCACCTGTTGATAACTCCACGATATTCATCAAGATCAGCAGCATCATCATCAGCATTATCAGCAGCATCCATCCCTCGCATCACAACTCTCACCAGCATCTCAATCACTGTTGTCGTAATCATTGCTCCTGCTGGAGCTAGTTCACAGCTCCTGTGAGCTTGTGACATGGGTTTGGCTGAGGTAGCTCCATCTTGCAGCTTGACGACCAGGACGGCCATGCCCACAACTACGACAGCAAAATACTATATAGCACTACAAAATACTATACAATGACTATATAATGCTACAGAATACTATATAAAACTATACAACACTACATAATACTTGTATAATGCTTTATGATACTGTGGAATAGATAATATACAGTATTGCATAATACTATATATCGCTACAAACAACTGTATAATACTATATAACACTAGATGACACTATATAACACTATATCACTATATACCACTATATAATACTATATCATGCTGTATAGTACTATATAACACTATATAACACTATATAATACTCTATAGTACTATATAATACTATATAATGCTATTATAATACTATGTACTACTATGGTAGTATTATGTGCTAGTGCTCTCTAAGAGGGAGCCCTGAACCAGGGCCTGCTTTCCAGCGAGGCCATGGAGCCGGCCGAGTGCAAGGACATCGAGGTCCTGCCTGTTGCAGACGCGGCTCCTGGGAAAGAAGCGGGCGGCTCAGTTTGGGGTTTAGGGGTTTAGGGGTTTAGGGATCTAGGGGTTCTCTGAATCTTCAATCCTAGACCCGGAACCTATGTAGAACTCTTAAAGAGACCCCTGAAAGGGCAAGGAAGACGATTTTATGTCAAACGTAAAGTAGCAACAGCAACTGCAACAAGAATGCCAACAAGAGTGAAAATCAGAGATATCCACATATAGTCATCATTCACGATGACCGTTTTTATGATGATCAACATGATCACCACTATCCTTTGCCCGCGTTCTTTCTTATCATGGCTGTGCTGGGTGACGGCCATTCGTTCGTAGGAGGCTCTGCTTAGGATCTGAGCTGGCGTACAGAAAGGTGTCGTTGCGAAAGAACCACCTAAAGCTTACCGTCACGTTACATCTTCGATGTGCGGTATGCCTCGCTGCCAGATTAACGGTTGGGTTTCGGGCTTTGCATCACACGATGCCAATCTTGGAGGCTGGTTTTTCCTTTTCGTAGATAAATGAACGACTTCCGTCACAAAACTCCAAACCAAACCCCAGAGCACACGAATCCGAAATTCGCTACATGGGCCATGGGAATTCTTGCACTTGGACCCTCCCCCTGCTTCCCCGACCTTCCGCAGCCTGCATGTCCAAGGCCGTTTCGCTCCTTTGACGAAGCCAAGAGCAGGCAAGATGCACCCACGGAAGTGCGAAGCGCGAAGGCTGCCAGTTCTACGTTGGTCATTGGGCGAATTCCTGATCGCCCTGTTTTGCTGGTCGGAGTCTTTTGTGTAGTTTTTGTTCTGACCAAAGGTGATTTTTCGAAGAGCCTGACGGCCTCTTTGACAGCGCATGCATCGAATGCTCATTTGCCTCTGGCCGAAATCATGGAATGACCGAGAAGGTGTCCGTTCAACATGTACTGTGGACAAGTCTGTCTCCTTGTAGCTACCCGTCTTGTTGTGGTCATAGACTTTGCGGCACCTCAGCGCAAGACAACGAGAGCTTAATTCAGCTCGACTTCAAAACCGGGCCCGTGGAATATGCAGAGATCACGACAATGCTGATTCGGTGTCCCCTCCCTGCTTTACCAGTTAGAACTGTCAGGGACACATGGGGAGGGGACCGTGACCGCTCCACCCGTCTTAATTCACGCAAGCCCTGTCACGTACCTTTTCAAGATAAGCTGACCGCCCACACTCCTACCAGTACTCGCCCCTCAACCCCCCTGAACCTACAGCTACCCTTCCTCTCCAACTCCCTCCCCCCTAAACCCTAAACCCCTAAATACTAAACCCCTAAACCCAAAACCCC